CCTAGGAGTGCCATCAAGAAATATAACCTTGTCCACACATTTCTGGTGAGCATGCAGTCAGAAACCCTGAGAATGGTACAGGAGTCCATGTTCAGAACTGCTCCAAGGTTTGGCTTATTTGTGGGCTTGGCCACAGACTGAGTGAGAGAGAGCAGGAGAGGCTCAACAGTGGTCCAGCTGAAGTGGTAAGTATGTTTAGAAGATTTTTGTTGAGTCAGGCCCCTCAGGGTATTTAGGCAGAGTTCCCTTGTTCTTAGATCCTGAGTGGAATTCAGTAGGAGATAAGCACTGAGCATGCCCATGGACTTTAGGGGTGTTTTTACATGTGCTCTGGGGGTAGACAGGGTGAGAGGGCACTTTAATTAGAGTGGATCTGAAAGTCACTCTAGCTAAAGTGCCCTCAACATCTCGTGTATCAGTGTCCTCATGCTTCAAAATGGCGGCGGAGGTGCTCACGAACGAGCTTTAGTTGAATGACATTTCAAAGCATGATACATGAGATGTAGAGGCTAGCTGGAGTATGCTAATTAGCACGCTCCAGCAAACTTAGTTGATCAAGCCTGCCCACATGTGTACGGGCACCCTAGGTGCCTTTATCTTTTATTGGATCTAGTCCTTAGCCAGTTATATGGAGAAAAGAAAAATGTTATGTGCATAACTGCTGTTTTTAAGACAGGGGCAAGCCAAGACTGATTTCCTGGCTTTCTGAATTCCAGAAACACCCTCAGCTATACTTAACTATGGAATTTGCAGGGACTCAAAGTGAGATGTTTAAGAAGGGAGAAATACTGTTGAATAATGGCCACAAGCTAGCAGAGAGCAGATTTATATTGGACTTTAGGAAGAACTTCTTCACAGTTAGAGTGGCCAAGGTCTGGAACGGGCTCCCAAGGGAGGTGGTGCTCTCCCCTACCCTGGGGGTCTTCAAGAGGAGGTTAGATAAGCATCTAGCTGGGGTCATCTGAACCCAGTACTCTTTCCTGCCTATGCAGGGGGTCGGACTCGATGATCTATTGAGGTCCCTTCCGACCCTAACATCTATGAATCTATGAATCTCCAGAATGATAAGATCACACTTCGCAATAATTAAGGCTAATATCAGGGAGTCTGGCATTATGTTCTAATTTAATCAGAATTAAGGATTTCTGTAAAGGAAACACAAATCTCACAAAGGCATGTACATTCAATATCCTTCCTGATACCTGAACTCGCTTTAAACTAGTTAACTCAGTCCAAAGAAGCTGTATTAATGCCACATTCACCAACCTAATTTTTTCTTCTGAGAGGGGTATTAAATTTCACACTGAGAAGCAGACCATATTAGCTTAGGCAGAGTGCTATATTAATGTGGATATACTCCTTCCTGTCCATAAGATAGCTCTAAATGTGCAATACAGCACCAAATTATGCCTTGTAGATATTTCCCAAGTTTTACTCATGCATATTTTCCTTTGAATCCCTTCTGTAATCAGAGCTTCCTTCATTCTTTGAGACAAACAAATCCTCTAAGTCACACAAATGCTTTTTCCCTTTCTTTTTGTTTTCATCTATAAGTTAACTTTTTCTTTGTCCAACCAGAAATTATTTCACAGTATCCACCCATAATCAGCCATTTTGCAGAATGCCAGGCATTGACTGAAATGAAAGCTGAAGTTGCCCAATAAATGAGACCCAACTGTCTTAAGTTAGGCTCTTCACAGTAATAGGTACACACTTAAAAAGTTAGGTATCTCTTGTCTGTCAGTAATAGACAGATGGCTAAGGATAAAAGCTTGTTAGTGTAAAATATAATATCCTTTCAAATTTCACTGGGTAATTTTCTGCTTGAAAATATATTTAATCCTCAATATCCTTTTATTCAAAGGGATATAACCATAGTAAGCCTATCCATATAGCATTTTGGTGCTGCAGTATTCCCTGGCAGCAGGCACTGGCACAATCTATGTCCTGTACAGCTGCCTCAAGGCTTACAGGACTTGCAATGAGGCCCTGTAGTTACATCAGTAACTGTGATGGGGTATGGATTGTGCTAGTCTGTGTCTTTTGCAGGGAGAAGTCTACTGTCATGCCAAAAGACTACATAGGTAAAGAAAGGTGCAGCATATGCCAGGCAGCTCTTGTACTCAGCCATAGAGCTAGGTAAAATTTTTCAACTTAAAAATGTACCCGTAAGAAGGTGGAAGCTTAAAAATGAAAATGACTTCAAAGTCTTTTCAAAATTACGTTTCCTTCAATTTTTTATCAGTGTTTTTGTGGCAGTTTAGTGTGCTGGAATTATCATCTGATTCCACAGGGAGCCAAAGAGAGAAAGGGAAGGAAAGACTAATTTCCTAGAGCTGTCAGGAGTGAGTTTGGCAAGGTGGCTGGATAGGAAAGAGAATGTTGGGCCTGGGGGGAAAGGATTCAGGAAAATTGCTAGGTGTTAGTGTATAATGCTGTCATAGTTCCAGTGGTAGAAAGGTTAAGTGTACAAGCATTCAAATAGTTTCTACTTCACCAAAAATGGTGGATCTGGTGGAAACTTCTACCTCATCCAATGAGGCAGAAGTGGTCTCTGGTAGAATTCTCTGATAGAAGCCTCCTTGCTACCCTCTAGCATCCCAATATACCTTAACCCGTCCCTCTCAGGGCGCAGACAGAAATGATATTTTTGAATGATTGGGCCCCTGAAAGCAGTCTACAGCCATGTCATAACACACATGCATGGCTGCAGAGTTCTTTTAAAATGGCTGGTTGTGTGAAGAATTGGTTAAATCAGGTATTACATTAAGTCACTGAAAAGCAGAGCACCTTAGGGAACTTGTGTTTCTTCTAGGGTTAATTTATCATGCAATCAGCCAGTAGGGGCTGAGCTGGGCTGACCACCAGCTCAGTCCTGCCATACCCCACAGGCTGTCAGGGGGAGGGAGGGAGAAGGAGAGAGAGGGAGCTTCCGGCTGGTTTGAATGGCCAGAGCTGAGGGGGAGGGTTGGGAACGGA